AAGGTTTTTGGATTGATTGCAACCAATGTGGATGAAGCTAACTTCTCTCACATTATTTCTTGCAAAGAATTAGCGGAAGCATGAAAGATTCTTTGCAACATCTATGAGAGCAAGAACTTATCTAACATCATCTATACAATGAAGAAGTTCTTCACTTGCAAGATGGAAGAAAGTGAAGACCTCATGGCTCATGTCAATAAGGTAAAGGTTCTTACAAACAAACTACCAATTGTTGATAAGCCTTTAGAAGAAAGTGATATTGTCATGACCTTGTTGATGACTCTTCCTGAATCCTACAACTACCTTATAATGGCATTGGAATTCATTAAGCTAAAAGAGCTTATAATGGAATATGTCATAATAAGACTTTCTCATAAAGTAACCAAGAAGAAAGAAAATGAGCCTCAAAGTAAAGATTCAATACTCTAGTCACGTCAAGGCAAGGACAACTATTCAAATCAACAAGGTAATGTCAAATCTTGCTTCATTTGTCGCAAAGTAGGCCATTTTGCTAGAAATTGCTACAAAGATAAGAAGATAGAGAAAGAGAATGCAAATAGTATGCAAGATGAGTTTGGAGGACAAGATTATATATTCAAGGCAACAAATGGGACCTCTATGGATGCCATGTCAAGATGGATTGTGGATTCAGGTTGTTTTAAGTATATGACATCTTATAAGTATTCAGTTGACATTTATGATGCTATTTCAGCATTAAAGGTGGTGTTGACAGATAGTGGTACATGTGAAGGCATTGGAATTGCCTCTATTATGATAGAAGTGGTTGTGAATAGAAAAACCAATAGGATCAGATTCAAAAACGTCTTTCATGTGCCTAAGATGAAGCAAAACCTACTTTTGATGAGTAAACTTGTAATAGAAGGTTTTAAAGTTCAATTCGACATGAATGGATGTTTTGTAAAAATATTGAGTTGAATTAAGGTCTTCAAAGGCTTTAAAGAGGGAAATTTGTACTATCTCATTTATAAGAAGGTGAATGGAGTGGAGGTAGCTCCATTTGTAGAGTTTACATCAAACCAAGACAAGTTGAAAATATGGCATCATCGCCTTGGCTATTTGAATGTGAAGAGCATGAGAGAGCTCAAGTCTATGGTAAGTGGCTTAAATCTTTGCAATACGAGCCAAAATATAAAAGAACTTGTACGTAAAAAATGCATACAAGGCAAACAACAAAAGACCTCATTTCCAAGTAACTTAGCAACATATGCTACCACGTTGCTAGAGATTGTCCATTCTGATATATGTGGACTTATGAAGAACACAAATAATGGAAGATCAAAGTATTTTTTGACTTTTGTTAATGATTATTCAAGAAAGATTTGAATTTACATTCTTAAATCCAACAGTGAATGCTTTTAGAGGTTTAAGGAGTTTAAAGCACTTATTGAAAAATAAAATAAATGTAAGATCAAGATGCTACGTACGGACAATGGAAGTGAGTACATGTCTAAGTAATTTGATATTTATTTGAAGAATGAAAGAATTTCTAGACAAACTACAACTCCGTACACTTCACAATAAAATAGTGTTGCTGAAAGGGCAAATCAAACTATTGTAGAGATGGCAAGGAGCATGCTTCATGCTCAACACCTTGGTTATGAGTTTTGGATGGAAATTGTGGTGAATGCAGTGTATACAAGAAATTACTGTCCAACAAGTGCTCTTGTATCAATGACACCACAAGAAACTTGGAGTAGAAGACAACCTTGCATTTTCCATATGAGGACCTTTGGTTGCATTGCATATGCAAAAATACCAAATTATATGAAGTCCAAACTTGATGCAAAAGGTACAAAGTATGTGTTTCTTGGTTGTTGTGAAGGTACTAAGGCATATAGGCTAATATACTTAAAAAACAAGAAGGTCATCAAAAGTCATGATGTTGATTTTTTGGAGCACAAGAGTGCTTGTAAACACTTGGAGATGTATTCAAGTGAGAGTAATGGTATGTTTGTGGACACATCTTTGAATTCAGCAAAGAAATAAGAAGATGAAGACAATAAAATTGATGACGATGAAAAGACAAAGAAGGTTGAAAAGATGAAGGCTCCTATAATTGCTAGAAATAGTAATAAAAGAAATGAAGATGTTGAAGATTATGATGATGATGATGATGATGAGTACCAACATTAAGTGAGAAATGACAAGGTTTAAGAGAGGAGGTTGAAAAAGAACATAAAAAGCAGCAACGTAAATCTTCTTCTATAAATGAAAGAAAATATCTTTTAAGAGAAAAAAGACAATGTGGTGAATGGTGGAAGGATCACATCTTTCCTCAAGTAGGTGAAGAACATGCAAATATTGTTCTTCTTGTTGATCAGTTATCTTTGTAAGATGCATTAAAGTCCCAAGAAACAATTAAGTGAGAGAAGGCTATGGAAGAAGAGTATCAATCTATTATGGACAATGATACATGGAAATTGACACCCCTTTTAGCAAATCGATCTAGTATTGGTTGTAAGTAGGTGTTTAGAACTAAAAAAGATGCAAAATGTTCCATATAAGGTAACAATAGGCTCAATCATGTATGCAATGGTAGCCACAAGAGTAGACCTTGCATATGCAGTGAATGTTGCAAGCCAATACATGTCTAAGGCTAGACCATTGCATTTGACAACGATAAAGAAGCTATTAAGGTACTTAAAAGGTACAAAAGACTTCAAATTATGCCTTGGTGGTAAGAACATTGATTTGTTAGGTTACTATGATGTGAATTGGACTGTAGATGCAAATGATAGAAGATCCACAATAAGATTTGTCTTCTTCATTGGAATAGGAGCTATTTCATGGAATTGCAAGAGACAACCTTCCATTGCAAGATCAACATTGAAGGTAGAGTACATGGCAGCAAGTCATTGTGCAATGGAGGTGTGTTAGATAAAGCAACTCTTAGAAGACATTAGACTAGGGCAATTAGAAGCAACTCTCATTATCTATGACAATTAAGGATGTCTTGCATTTGCCAAGAATCCAAAATAATATTCAAGGCCCAAGCACATTGATGTTCAACATCGTTTCATACGAGAGAGGATTGAAGATGGAATAATAGGTATGAAGTATTGTACTACAAATGACATGCTTGTTGATGTGCTTACAAAGGCATTAAAGGATAGATATCATGAGTTGATACAGAGATTAGGATTGAAAGCCTTTTGAATGTTAACAAAGTGGGAGTGTTGAAGATTAGCAAGTACTTGCTTAGTTACAACCACATAGAGATTAAGCATAATATGTTGCTAATAGTCAAAAGGTAGCAAAGAGTTAAAGGAAGTTACTATGGTAGCACCTAGGGTTTGGTTGGATGAAGTAAAAATGGATGTAATATCAAAAAGATGGAAGTTGCCTCATTGGTTAGCAAACCACCACCTATAAGTAAAAGGTGTTGGAAGTAAGAATTATCTTACTCCATACTTTTGTTTATGTGCAAACCTTACTTATGCTAAGTGTTTGTAGCTTTTAGACTTCTTTTCTTCAATAGTTTAAAATATTTTTTTTTAATCTAAATGATGTTTAGCAACATTCTTTTTCCCACAAAGTAAAAATACACTCCATTAGAACAACCTCTTCAAAAACATTCTTTACAAAGCTATTTCTGTCTTAGTAATATTTACTAAAGAATGTCAAAATCAAGTACAAAGTTAGTATTGATAATAATTTATCATATTTTTAAATGTTGTTTATTACAATTTGTGCAATTCAAATTGAACAACAAATTACAAGATGCTTAGACACAAAAAATTGAACAAGAAAACAAATAATAAACAAACATACACAAGATTGTACATCTGAAAATGTGAACTCACCACATATCAGATAAAAATAAACCTAATTATAACAAAGCAAGTTGAACAAATGTTTAGAATAACACATAACATAAATGCAATAAGAAAAGAATGAAAACTCACATCTCAATAGGAACTAGAGATGGCATCGATATGGATAATAGTCTGAACTCTGGCTAGGAAATTTCAACTGCACTTGATGCTCGCTGGTGTCCAAAGAAAAAGTATGGACGTTAACACGCATGTACAAAAAGAAAGTAAGAAATTGCAAAAAGTGAAATAGGATAAAAAGTTAACAGACAAAGCCAGTCGTGGAAAGATAAGTGAATGCGAGGATATTGTAGAGCCCTGCGAAGCGAAAGACAGGTTCGTGAGATAAATGTTTTGTGGCTCTTTGAGAACCACGCTTCGACATCTTCGAACTGCGCTGCGTCTTTTGCCCACAAACCCAAATGTGCGAACCCGTCCAGGATCTACAGCGAAAAAGAACAAACACGAAATACTGGAACACTGGGTCAAAAGCACGACCGAATCCTGCCACATTTCCACTCCTCGATGTTTTACCTTGCATTGCTTCATGCACCCATGTGCACTGATACTTCAAGTTGCCTTTCACTACTGCCTGCTGGTTTACAGGCAAAATTTTCTAATCTCCCTCCTTCACATTATCGTGTGAAGCTGAGTTGGTGTAACGAAAGCCTTGTAGAGGAAAGCGTTTGGTGTGAACGGGTACTGTGCAAACCTGTTCTTCGTCTGTTTTGAATCAGAAACGGCACACGTTTGGTCATTGTACTAGAAAATTGTTCTTAGATTTTCTGACTGCAAACAGTACGATCATTTTCAACATACTACGTTAAGCGTTCCAGTGAAATGCATACATCCTTCTGCGGGTGCAATCGCTACATGCTGCATTGTGTGGTTGTTGGTGTTAGCAACATTCATCTTGGTGACGCTGTCTACTGGTCACAAATCCCAGCCGACTCGTTCTGTCTCTCACACAGAATATGCAAAGAAGAACACCGCGACAATTTCCACAATTCCTGATTTGGATCAGAGAATATTGCCACAAGAAGCTTGTGTTTTGAAGACAGACGCTTACATTGTGCGGTTACGAGGTCTAGATCTTGCTAACTGCGTCCAGTACTTTGAGGCTGGTCGCTGGTCAACGATTAAAGGGCAATGTTAACAGAGAGATCATTGAGGCTGGGAAACGCTCCATTGCAGTGAAATTAGTATTAGTGAAAGTAACAATTGTATTTTAGTATTAGCCAAGGCCTAATTAACCCTATCCCCACCCAGCTATGTAATGGTTACTCCCTATTTGAATTATTTCCATTTAAGTCAGAAAAAACAATAAAAAAATAATAATAATATAAAAGACGAACAAAAAGAAGCTAATTGGCTAGCTAAATTCGCTATGCTAGGTCTCCTACTCGAAAATCCAATCATCCTAACAAAGCGTCTCAATGTCCACCCAGCAGCCATGCAATTCTCCATAAGATGGAGTTAAAGAGGCGGGAGTGCCTCGAATCGGAACAGTACCGTATCGACGTTGTGGCCAGTGTTCGGCGAGGTCCATCCGAACTTACGTACTCGCCGACCCACTCTCCACCCTCGCGGAACTCCGAATCCTTCCACCAGCTGTAAGTGGTTCCTGACCCGCATGTAAGGCAATCCGGCTTTGACCAGAAACTCATTGTACGAGTCCGGAATCTCGTCCACGGAGATGGTCACCGACTTTTGCGCCAGTTGGAACATTCTCACTAGCACTGCACACATTTCCACCTCGTCAAGGTACTGGAGGGTCGAGACACACACGACGTGGTCGAACGATGTGGTGGTGTCCATTATCACGTCCTGAAGGGGACCAATCTTCACTTCCTTGTATGTCTCCGGGATTGGATTCTTCTGAACCATTTGCTCGGATACGTCATTGCCCACGATCGTGCTCAGTTCTGAGCCGTCTTTGCGTTTCCTTTGATGCTCGTGGAGCAAGCGACCGAACTTTCCCGTGCCGCTGCCCAATTCAAACACCGTGCCGGAATAATCGTAGTCGGCGATTAGAAATTCGTAGTTCGAGGCCATCGTTCCCAAATAACTTTCGTAGCTCGCCGAGAAGGCGTCGAATTCCTTGGCCACAGGGGCAACCTTGATCTTGTGCTTTCCCAGCTGCTGCAGTCTGCTGTTGACAATCACGTTCACAAGCGCGCGATGACCGCCGGGAAACGTCTCGCGGATCACGATGTCCTCCCACTCGTGCTCCCAGCGGTAGAACACCGCCGGCCCCGGGTTGACCTCCAGGATGAAGGGCTTACCGTCTGACGCTCGAACCCTAATATCCACATTGCCCCAGCTGTTTCCTGCCATTTGGTTGACGTGCCAGGCTCTCTCCGCCAGATTGCGCAACATGTCGAAGAGCGCTGGGTCTTTGCAACGCACCAGGAGCTCCTCACGCATCTCCGGGTGGCATTTGATGTCGAAAGTCATGAAATCAGCGCCGGCGTTGATTGCGGGGCATCGGTAGGTAGTCGGGTTTAGCGCCACGGGCGTGTTGCCCATCTCGATGAGAATGACGGAGTAATCGCGCCCAGGTATGTACTCTTGGACGACAATGTCGATATCACTCCCGTCGAAATGAGCAACTCCGTTGCCATAAGCACTACCGTTAACGTGATCACTTCCATCGACATGGGCGATTCTATTGCCGTTGACGCTCCCGTTATCGTGATCACTTCCGTTGACATGGGCACTCCCGTTTCCATCAGCGCTCCTATTGCAATGATTGGCGATGGTTGCGGCGGCTTCCTTTCGACCGGGAGCAAGATACTCATTGATGCGGGCCAGCTGCTGATCAAGTTCGCTTTGGTTCTTGCACACGGACCTTTCGTCGATAAACATTGACGCGCACATCTTCGCCGGTTTCACAAACACCGGGAACTTCATGTCAGCACCCCTTGCCGGCACTGGCAATCCAGATTTCTTGGCCGCGTTGTAGAAGTCGAGCTTCGATCGTCTCAAGACCTTGCTCTGATAACCCACAATTGGAACTCCCAAAGACTCCAAGTATTCAGTAGCCTCTATACCCGCGACGGTATCCTCGAGTTGGCCCCACATGAAGTTGAGGAACATGTCGAAGCCCTCGGCGACGGCAGCATCGATCTGGGCGTTGGCAGTGGCTTTGTTGATGTAACGGTGATGGAATTCGTGTTGGGAGGTGAACATGGCGGGGTCTGGAAAGCTGGGGTCATTGATGGCAAGGGCTTGGGTGGAGTCTGCGTAGGGAGCCTGGAGAACACAGATCTTCATGGTGAATGGTTTGGTACTAATTCCGCAGCTTGATCAGAAATCGCTGAGGAGGAATACGCCCGTACGAAAGAAGCTGTGCTTGTTCTCGAAACCGGCAGATGGCCAGGAAAGTCAACAGAATGTCATGCCTGCACATGCATATTACAGTCACATACAAGAGTATAAAAACTCTCGAACGAACGAAATTTGTTTTTCCATGTAGCAGCAGTCTGGCTAGTACCGTGGGCAGAAGAAAACATGAAAAGCACGATGATAACTATTCACATGTGATGGGATTTGGCCATGGAACTAGACCAGCGTCAGAAGCTCTTACCTCAAACACCTGAAGTTAGTGCACCAAGAATAAAGTGTACAGAATGTCCAGGTCTGTCTTATTTATCTCTCCCTTACTCACGTGAACCTTGTGGAGGCCAGTCACAAGGTTTCTCTGAATGGCTTTTTGGAAGGCACTGAGACCCTAACCTGGAAAGGTGCGCCAAGTTGTCATAGTCCCCCCCGAAAGGGCTGTTTTTAACAGAAGCAGCGATCATCGTAAAGTTGCTATTTTCGATATTTTCCAGTTGGCTGATTGAGTGGAGTGATCTACAACGGAGAGAGAAACGGATCTGGGTTAAAACTTCGGATCTATTGCGACACTTTTCCAAACGGAGAAGATTGTCCATTCAGGAAAGTCTCGTAAAAGTACATATTGATGGGGTGAATTAGGGAATGATAACTTCTGCACCAATCATTATTGAACTAGGTTGAACTCTTTATCAATTTCTTTCAACAAAAACGGACAAATCTTGAAGGGTATATATTATTATATTCTTATATCTTATCAAGACAGAGTAGATCAAGTTACTCTCTATCACTATCAATAACAAATGACCTTATTCTCTAGATAAATCTAGTACAAGTGTTACGTCTCCTATTCCATAATAGTACATAATATTGTCATATAGGAAGGACTTAACTTGAAACTTTAATTTAAAATAATAAGTTTGTGCAAAGTAAAAAAATCAGAAATTAGAAACAAAAGTTGAATAGATTGGAATATGTTGTAAGAACTAAATTTTTATTAATGATGTATCAAAAGATTTAGAAGCAATAAAATAAGAATGATTGAAAAAATGAATTGATGAAAATGAAGATGAATTTATTGCTGCCCTTGTAAAATAAAAATAGAATAAAGATCCACAATATCTTGAAATATATAAATATATTTATGTACATATACATACATAAGTCTTATAAAATATGTATTAATTTATTAGAATAAAAAATGATTGAAATATTAATATATATATATATATATATATATATATGATAATTTTATTAACGTTAATTATTTTTATTGGTTCATAATGTTTATTACTCAAGATTTATTATTTTTTTTTCAAGTAATTTTTTATATATTTTTTTTAATCTAAATGTTGTTTAGTAACATTTTTTTTTCAACCAAGGACAAACACATTTTCATAGATAAATATATTTAATTTAATATTTTTATTTTTGATTAAATTGAAGTAGATAAAAGTAGATTTATTTCATATACCTTTTAGGCAAGCTTCTTAGAAGCTTTATAAACATTGCTTTAACTTTACATGTATTTGTAATTGATTGATAGGTTAGAAACTTGGTCATTAAATTAACCATGTGTTGATAGCTTAGAAAACAAGCTAATTTATGTTGCTAAATTCAAACCTTGCTTGTAATAAGGACTAGAATGACAAAGCTCTTATCAATCAATTTTGATATTCATGAAGGATAATGTCAACGATTTGCTATTGACAATGTCTAAGGCAAAATCTTTGAAATAATTAACCACTTTAGCTATTATATATGACAATCGATTATTTGAAAGATGTCAAGAATAAAGATTTTGTTAGAAAAGAACAAGTTAAATAATGACTACACTTCTAAAGTTTTCAAAAACTTATTTATCAAGGCTAAGCCAATGCAAATCGATATAATACGTTTTAAATCTCCTATAGAATTGAAAAAGACTTAACAATATGATAAAGACTTATATTATGGAGAAGCTAAATACACTACTTAATAGTGTCTAAAGAAACAACTCAACTACGAAATGAAAAGCATGGTTGCTAAAAAAGACAATGTGTCGAGAAACAAGTTTTTTCAGCTACAATAAAAACCGTGTGACTAGAATCTTGCTTAACTTCTAATAAAGGTCATATTCTCTCCTCAATCTCCTCACCTTGTTTTACAATAAAAGTTTATTTAGGATAAAAAAATCACAAAATCATAGCTTTGTTAGATTTAAGAGCCTTAACTTATTTTATATACAAAAATTTTGTCAAAAAATAAGAAATATTATTAGTCAAGAAAATTAAATCCGTATATGTAGAGGTCACAAATGGTCATTTTTTTATCTTTTAGAGATGTTACACATGAGACAATTCCTTTACATGTAGTAATTAAAGATTATAAAAGTATAATAATATTAAATATAATAATATTTTTCTTTAATTTGGTTATTTTAGTATTATCTTAATTAAAAAAGTATAATCCTCAAATAGATTATATTTTTCATAACTTTATTTTTTTGGATAATTTAATCTAAAATTCCATTAGTCAAATAAAAATACATAAGTATAATACACTCAAATCTATCACGGATGTACAAATTTACCCTGATAATTATTTAGATAATAAAAATAAGTCAATGTAAGTAAAAGTAGATAAATAGGATAATTTCTTGTGGAAAGCTTCCTAGAAGCTTCATAGACACTGCTTTGTATTTATATATGTCTATCAGTAATTGATAGGTTGAAACTTGGTGAATAATGATGCGACATGTCGACATTTTGACTACTTGTATATTTTGACTACTTGTATATAGTACAAGTTGGATATATGGGGCACACCTAAGAAACTTGTCTTATAAATTAGACATGTATCTTGCAAGTTGGACACATATTAGAGGTCCTATAGTATGTTGTCACGTAGTTCTTACTTAAGTAGTATATATAGAGGCAAGAGTAAGGCCTTCTTTACTCTTGTCGGCTCTTTTCTTATTTTTAGTCTAGTTTCAAGAGTCTTATGTTTTCTAGTCTTTGACAATAGCCATTCTAGTTCTTCCTTGAATATACATACTTTCTTCTATTTTGTCATTTTTCTTTTGACACAAATTCCACGAGTTTATGCATCTTTTTCTAGTTTGTGTCCTTGACAGATTGATAAGAGTATACATACAATATCAAAGCTTTGTCCTTTCTTGATTAAGAGTGGTTTACTGCTTTGTCTTAATAAGACATAAGCATATTAGAAGTTACGGATTACCTTCTTTTAAATTGATATTACTTCTAAAAATTCCTTTTCTTAATTCTTAAATATTGTATTCTGTGAAAATAGACACCTTTCTTTGTATTATGCTAGTATGGCAAAGCTTACTGAAATGAAGAGTATAATGGCTCAAATGCAAGAGCAAATGAGAGAGTTAATGCTTGCAATATATTAACTCAATCTACCACCACAAGGAGCAACAAGATTATCAAAGAATGAAGATATAGAAATGATTGGAGTTGCATCAACATCTACACCAAGCCATACTACTATTCCTACAATGGAACATCGTTCAAGTTTCAAGAAACCAAAAATTGTATTGCTTGAGAAGTTTGATCATACAAGATCTAAGTTTCAAAGATTTATCAATCAAGTACAACTGGTGATTTAACTACAACTTCAAAGTTATTCAATTCAAGGATCACAAGTCAGGTTTATTAATAGACTACTTTTAGGTTTTACTTTATCATGGTTTTTATCATTTCTTAAATGACATGATCAAATATTGGATAATTTGAAAGCATTCTTGGCAAAGTTTTGATCTTTGTATGGAAAATATGATGCAATCCATGTTACAACCAACAAGATTTATATCTTGCAATAAGACAATTCATTAGTGATATTGTATGCATCACAATTTTAACAATTGGCAACAAATATCTAGTGGGATGATGTAACACTCATCAGCCAATTTTTCTATGCATTACAAGATGAAGTAAATAAATTGATGTTTAATTTACTTGATCCTCAAACATTGAGTAAGTAATTGACTTTGCTGTGAAATGTGATAATCAACTTCTTGAGTTTTGATGTAAAAATTACACAAAGGAACTTCAACGTTATTATAATTCAATGACAATACCAACAACTTTTCAATCTAAACATTTGGAAGTAGAAGATAGGTAAATTGATGGAGTACATTTTAAACCTCTCATTGAATAAGAAAAGATTCATTGTCATCAAGAAGGACTATGTTTATATTGTGGAGAAGCTAAGCACACTCCTCAATATTATCCAAAGAAACGATATAACTACAAAATGAGGAGTACTATTGTCAAAGATGAAAACATGTGAAAAAATAAATTTGTCCAGATACAATAGGAATTGTGCGATTGGAATCTTATACCATTTCTAATTAAGGTCATATTCTCTCCTCGGAACCCTCTCCTTATATTATAATAGATATGTGTTTAGGATCTAATAATCACAAAGCCTCTGCCTTAATAGATTTAGAAGCCTCAAATTATTTTTTAGATGAAGAATTTATTAAAAGTCATACTATATAATTAATACAAAAAATTAAATCCCTACACATAGAAGTCATAAACGATTGTCCGTTATCTTCTAAAGATATTACTCATGAAACACTTCCAATACATGTAGTAATAAATGGTCATAATAGTTGCATAATTTTTAATATAATTAGATCTCCCTTTAATCTAGTCATTTTAGTTTTATCATGGCTAAAAAAATATAATCTTGTAATAGATTGGATTTCTTGTAAACTTGACTTTTCTTCAAACATCATTAAGAGTTTTTCTAATCTAGTAGAAAGCCATGAGTCTAATGTAGCCAAACCTATACTTGTAGATGCAAAAGCTTTTTTGCATGCTATAAAAAAGGATTGTCTTTTTTTATTTGTGCTACACCTATTTTAAATGATGGAAAGATTTGAAGTGAAATTCCTAGTCAATATCAATACTTTTAAGATGTTTTTGAAAAAAAGAATGCAAATATTTTTCCAAAGCATCATCCATATGATTTTTCAATCGATCTTAAAGAAGGAACTTAGCCACTATTTGGTCCAATCTATAGTTTATCACAAAATGAGTTGGCTAAACTCAAGAAGTACATTGATGAGCACTTGGCCAAAAATTCAACTATCACTAAGATGATTGGAAAATTCTTTTGCCATTGGCAAAGTTTGCTTATAATAATTTGGTACATTTTTCTACTCAACAAACACCTTTTTTTGCCAATTATGATTATCATCCAGGATTTGATACTTTTAACTTTTCAAAGGTTGATAATCCTATGGCGGAAGATGTGGCAAATCTATTGTCAGAGCTACATGTAACAATGAAGGCATAATTAAAAGAAGCTTAAGAATGACAAAAAGATAACATAGATGTTTATTATAAGGAACAATCTCAATTCTATATAGAAAATAATATATGGTTACTTCA